TGTTTTACCATTAATTTATATTCACACACATCATAAGATTAGAAAAAACTTTTAAAAAACGGGTAAGAAAAAAAAAACACAATGGGTGAGTCCGGCACGGCATGAAGAACAAATGTTTTTTTTTTCTTATTTTTTGTTAAGTAAAAAATTATCACTCTAAAATTAACAACAATAACGATAGATTTAGTGAAATTTTACAAGTAAGATCTGAAAAAAATTATTTCTTTATAAAATTTTTACTACTAATTGTTTTCAAAAGTACATATGTGAATGGTCTAACAAATACTATGAGAAGTGAGGTTTGTTGAGCTATGGGCGTAGAGCTATACGGGATACAATCAGTTGGAGGATGGAAAGGACACGACGAATATACAATGCAACTTGTTTTTTTTCCCTATATTCACTAAGAAGAAAATTAATCATTTTTCTCATTTTGTTACAAAATTAACCAATCGAATATGAAAATGTTGACTTCGTTACTAACCACACTTAGAAATAATTTAAAAATATTTGTGTTTTTCTTTTCTTAAATTTTGGAAAAGAGGGAAATAAAAGGAACGGACACAACCGGTATTGAAAGGGCGCGAAATTCATAACCGTTCATCTATTTTATTTTATGATTATTATAAAACACACACTTAATTACTTAATAATTAATAATTAATTAGATTCATCGTCTAAGGTACTCTTTTATAATTTTAAAATAATTCAATGATTTTCTTTTTTATTCAATTTTTTATGGTTTTATTTCCTTTTTCTCCATCTTTACCAACTCTACACAAATTTTTTACTTTTGGAAATACTTTAATCACATAAAAAACATAAAATAATCTAAACATGGAAATTTCTTGTTTTTGACGTTATGTTAAAAAAAAAAACATAACAATTCCAAATTGTTATTTTCTCATTGAAATCAGAGTCAGAATTTTTAGTTTATAAGTATTTTAGTGAATTTTTATAAGAGTCGGAGTCAGAGTTTGTCTCTCTTTCTTTTATACTTTATCTCGTAATTACTTCCAACGATACTTTCTCCCCAAGTTTTGCCAAAAAACTGATTTTTTTTTCAACTTTCTAGTGTATGTAATACTCAAAAATCACATTTTTTTTTTACTATAAGCTTTTTAATTTTTCGTTTTTGAAATTGCAGAGTTGTTGTGTAGATTGAGTACAAAAATGGGTCGATTTCATATACAAAAGATACTGATTATGTTGTTAGTTTTGTTGTTACAAAGTTCATCATCATGGGGTTGGTTCTTTTCTACTAATAAGAACAATAACAAGAATGATTATAAACAAGAACAACATAAATTTTCAAACAACAAAGTTGTTAAATTGATGTCTGATTTCTCCATGGATGGTTTTGAGAATTCACAAAAGGGAATTGAATTAATCGAAAACGCGGAGCAAAAGATGTTGATTACAGATTCATGTTGGCAAAGAAGTTATCAGAATTTGTTTAGTGTATGTAGAAAAGCTCTGCCTGATGAAGAATTGAAATCTAGACTTTCTTGGAATTTATGTGATTGTTTTCAACAACATACTGGAAGATCACCTTTGCCTTATTGTGATGCAAAATCATCAATGACTAAATGCTTACAAAAATTGGATAATGATGTTCATAAGATTTATCTGGCTTTCTATATTGAAACCCCTGCCATTTGCCAACAATTGCAGTAAGTTTTCCCTTTTTTTGTTACGTATCGTTTCATAATGTATTGTATTGATTGGATGTTTTTGACACATGGTTAGTTTGAAGTATATTGTTTTGATGAATACAGTATTTGGATGGTCGTTATATTGTGTCATACTAGAGTTTCTAAGTATTTCTTGATCTTAAATTGGTAACTTGTCTGAATGTTTTTGACATATGGTTAGTTTGAACTATATTAGTTTGATGAATACAATATTTGGATGGTCGTTATATAATGTCATACTAGAGGTCGTAATAAGTAGTTTCTTGATCTTCAATTGATAACTTGTTTGAATGTTTTTGACATATGGTTAGTTTGAAGTATATTGTTTTGATGAATACAATATTTGAA